TATCTATCTATCTATCTATCTATCTATCTATATCTATCTATCTATCTATCTATCTATCTATCTATCTATCTATCTATCTATCTATCTATCTATCTATCTATCTGTCTGACAAGAACGCTCTAGAGAAAAGACAAGGAAATTAAAAACCTTCACAGTAAAACGAAAACGAAATATGACGTCGACACATTTAGCACAGAGTAGAACATAATCTCAAACCAGAGAGTGCACACAGTAATATGACGTCATTGATTCTCGCGTAAACATTGAATAAAAAAGGAAATTTTGTCTAATCTAAATGGTTTGCGTGAAGAGTTTCTTGCATATAATTCTTCGGGTAGGGGCGAAGCCCCACCCCCCGCGTAAGAACGTCTGAGCCCCCCCCCCCCCCTCCCCATCTCAAAAGAAATTTCTTCATCGATACTCTATAATAAAATTACCGCCTAATTAATGTGTCTAATCTTGCAATTTCTTTAATGCAATTCTTCGGGTAGTGGCTAAGCGCGACACAAGTGATTCTTTCAGACTTTTTCCTCCCCGGAGAGGGGTGGGGTAATTGAAATTTTCGGGGGCGGGGGGTAGAATTTTCGGGGAGGGGGGCGGACACTGGAAAAAGTATATAATTATATTTCGTTGAATGGGACGGTAGACATGTTTTTTTTGGGGGTGGGGGTGGTGTGTGTGTGGGGGGGGGGTGGGGTGGGGTGGTTTTCTCATCGATACTCTATAATAAAATTACCGCCTAATTAATGTGTCTAATCTAAAAAGTGGTTGTCTTGCAATTTCTTTAATGCAATTCTTCGGGTAGTGGCTAAGCGCGACACCAGTGTTTCTTTCAGACTTTTTCCTCCCCGGAGAGGGGTGGGGGTAATTGAAATTTTCGGGGGCGGGGGTAGAATTTTCGCGGAGGGAGGCGGACACTGGAAAAAGTATATAATTATATTTCGTTGAATGAGACGGTAGACATGTTTTTTTTTGGGAGTGGGGGGTGGGGGTGGTTTATGTGGGGGGGGGGGGGTGGGGTGGGGTGGTTTCCTCATCGATACTCTATAATAAAATTACCGCCTAATTATTGTGTCTAATCTAAAAAGTGGTTTTCTCGCAATTTCTTTAATGCAATTCTTCGCGTAGTGGATAAGCGCGACACCAGTGTTTCTTTCAGACTTTTTCCTCCCCGGAGAGGGATGGGGGTACTTGAAATTTTCGGGGGCGGGGGTAGAATTTTCGGGGAGGGGGCGGACACTGAAAAAGTATATAATTATATTTCGTTGAATGGGACGGTAGACATGTTTTTGTGGGGGTGGGTGGGGGTGGGGTGGGGGTGGTGTGTTTGGGGGATGGGTTGGTTTTAGTTTAGAGAAAAGAGACAGCACTATCAGCCTAGCGCCCGTTGTATCCTTCCTCAACGGGCCATTTTTCTCGTTATTAATACTAATAGTTTCGCTGTCTGTCTGTCTATCTGACAAGAACGCTCTGTCTGACAAGAACGCTCTGTCTGACAAGAACGCTCTAGAGAAAACACAAGCAAAATAAAAACATGCACAGTAATTCGAAAAACGAAATATGACGTCGACACATTTAGCATAGAGTAGAACATAATCTCAAACCAGAGAGTGCACACAGTAATTAGACGTCATTGATTCTCGCGAAAACATTGAAAAAAAGGAAATTTTGTCTAATCAAAATGGTTTGCGTGAAGAGTTTCTTGCATATAATTCTTCGTGTAGGGGCGAAGCCCCACCCCCCGCGTAAGAACGTCTGAGCCCCCCCCCCCCCCCTCCCCAACTCAAAAGAAATTTCTTCATCGATACTCTATAATAAAATTACCGCCTAATTAATGTGTCTAATCTAAAAAGTGGTTTTCTTGCAATTTCTTTAATGCAATTCTTCGCGTAGTGGCTAAGCGCAACACCAGTGTTTCTTTCAGACTTTTTCCTCCCCGGAGAGGGGTGGGGGGTACTTGAAATTTTCGGGGGCGGGTGTAGAATTTTCGGGGAGGGGGCGGACACTGGAAAAATTATATAATTATATTTCGTTGAATGGGACGGTAGACATGTTTTTTTAGAGGGGGTGGGTGGGGGGTGGGGTGGGGGGGGGGGGGGGGTTGGTGTGTGTGTGGGTGGGTGGGGGGTGAGTGGGGGGTGGTTTTAATTTAGACTTTTTCCTCCCCGGAGAGGGGTGGGGGTACTTGAAATTTTCGGGGGCGGGGGTAGAATTTTCTGGGAGGGGGCGGACACTGGAAAAAGTATATAATTATATTTCGTTGAATGGGACGGTAGACATGTTTTGGGGGTGGGGGGGGGGGTGGGGGGTGGTGTGTGGGGGGGTGGGGGTGGTGTGGGGGGTGGTGGGGGTGGGGGTGGTGTGTGGGGGGTGGTGTGTGGGGGGGGGTGGGTTGGTTTTAGTTTAGAGAAAAGAGACAGCACTATCAGCCTAGCGCCCGTTGTACCCTTCCTCAACGGGCCATTTTTCTCGTAATACTAATAGTTTCGCAGTCTGTCTATCTATCTGACAAGAACGCTCTAGAGAAAACACAAGCAAAATAAAAACATGCACAGTAATTCGAAAAACGAAGTATGACGCGGTCACATTTAGCATAGAGTAGAAAATAATCTCAAGCACACAGTGTGCACACAGTCATATGACGTCATTGATTATCGAGTAAACATTGAAAAAAAAAGGAAATAATTTTGTCTAATCTAAATGGTTTGCGTGAAGAGTTTCTTGCATACAATTCTTCGGGTAGGGGCGAAGCCCCACCCCCCGCGTAAGAACGTCTGAGCCCCCCCCCCCCTCCCCAACTCAAAAGAAATTTCTTCAACGATACTCTATAATAAAATTACCGCCTAATTAATGTGTCTAATCTAAAAAGTGATTTTCTTGCAATTTCTTTAATGCAATTCTTCGGGTAGTGGCTAAGCGCTACACCAGTGTTTCTTTCAGACTTTTTCCTCCCCGGAGAGGGGTGGGGGGTACTTGAAATTTTCGGGGGCGGGGGTAGAATTTTCGGGGAGGAGGCGGACACTGGAAAAAGTATATGATTATATTTCGTTGAATGGGACGGTAGACATGTTTTTTTTAGGGGGGTGGGGTGGGTGGTGGGATGGGGGGGGGTGTGGTGGTTTTCGTTTAGACTTTTTCCTCCCCGGAGAGGGGTGGGGGTACTTGAAATTTTCGGGGGCGGGGGTAGAATTTTCGGGGAGGGGGCGGACACTGGAAAAAGTATATAATTATATTTCGTTGAATGAGACGGTAGACATGTTTTTTTAGGGGTGGGGGTGGGTGGGGGGGTGGTGTGTGGGGGGGGGGGTGATGTGTGTGGGGGTGGTTTTCGTTTAGACTTTTTCCTCCCCGGAGAGGGGTGGGGGTACTTGAAATTTTCGGTGGCGGGGGTAGAATTTTCGGAGAGGGGGCGGACACTGGAAAAAGTATATAATTATATTTCGTTGAATGGGACGGTAGACATGTGTTTTTTTTTGGGGGGGGGGGGGGGTCGGGGGTGGGGTGGTTTTAGTTTAGAGAAAAGAGACAGCACTATCAGCCTAGCGCCCGTTGTATCCTTCCTCAACGGGCCATTTTTCTCGTAATTTAAATATTTTGCGCTGGTTTCAACGCCGTTGCTATTTAGGTTATCATTTATGTATTTTCCTATTTAGAATTTATTTAACATTCTGAAATAAAAACGGGTATGAGGATATAATAAAATTTGATAATTTGATATTTTAAAATATTTCATGTTTTACTTAATTTTAATTACCTTCAAAGCTGTTTGGTTTAGGAATTATAATTTATTTTATCACTTCTTTAGACCTAATTTCTTAATTTAGTTTGAGGTTATAGTGAGGGTTGGTTTATGTTCATGGTTGAGGTTGTGGTGAGGGTTAGGGGGCCATTCGTTGCTAGCGTCCCACTTATGGGACGCTTCTTGTACACTTGATATAACGTAGTTTTAAAAAATTGTTACTCTTAAATTTTTATCAGATATAAATATGGTACTGCTACTAGTTGCAAATATATTTTGCACTTTAAATGTTAATATTTTAGAAGATACACATTTTCAGGTGCGCATGTTTTCTTTTTTCCGATATTTCGACTAGTCTTACAAAGCCGGCGCTATAACAATTTTCCAAATAAATTTTTTTCACAAAACGTACACAACTAAAATAGTCTAACCATTTTCAAATACAATGAAACATAATTTGTGTTTTAACTAGTTTTTAACAAATTTTAATCGATTTTATTTTTACAAGTGTCCCATAAGTGGGACGCTAGCAGAATATGTATGGGTTAAGGGTTTGAGCTTGTGTGTGTGGTTTTTTTGTGTGCGTTTTTTTACGTTTGTATTTTATGTGTTTGCGTTTGTTCTTGCGTTTGTGTTTGCATTTATGTTTATTTTTGGTTTTGGTTGCTTGGGATGAAGTTTAGAGTTACAGTTTGGGTTATGTTTGGTTTTCTCAAACTTTAATATTTGCATATAGACATTTAATAGGAAAAGTAATATATTGCCTCAACCCGGGCAATGCCTGGTATATGCTGCGTAACAAACACACAAGTCACGATCTTTTACTTTTTTTACATAGAGGGCCTGCCGGTTAGTATGTATATGTATGTATATGTATGTATGTATATATATATATATATATATATATATATATATATATATATATATATATAGTTTTATGCCCGCTAGCTACTCTAAAAATTTTGTAAGGATATTATAACCTTTGACATTTCATTTTAAAGCCCAGCTTTAACCTACAAATAGGAAATGATGTGGAACCACATTAAATCTGACCTTTGAAACCATTTCCTCAATAGTAATTGAAGCACTCTCCATTAAATGACACTTAACATGAGTGCTTTACTGTTGACACTACTATGCAGTTTAGTTGTATGCCAGATTGAAATTGTCAAACATTTAACCTTTTATTTTTATATTATGCATAGATGATGTTTAATGAATCCCATTCTGTTTTAATTTCTACATATTGATACATCTTTAGAACGCTGTCCAAAAAATCTGGTAACGGCCTATCTACAAGCTGCTGAGTGGGGTAAATGCTATGAGTTTCATACAGATGAAAGAACTTGGAATGGTGCTAACAATGTGTGCCATAACAAGGGGGGGAACCTTGTAACTATTAAAGAAGAGAGAATTCAGGTAATAATGCACACATATATAATTCATGATTGCATTTTATATTTGTTTGCAAAAGGTAGGTATGTCAAACTGATTTTTTAAAAAGGTTCTAGAGCTTTTTTGAAAGTTATGTTAGGAACTCAGGATTCTAAGTTAGTGGATATATCTCAAGTGTTAAAAAAGTTACGACTTAAAAAAAAATAATATAACATTTTTTTGCACATATAAAAAATCACCATAATAAAAAAATCACCATAATAAAAAAAATATGTATATCAAAATTTAGGGGAACAACGCGTTTTTTAAATTTAATTACTATATAGGCCTATAACATTTACCTTTAAGAAACAGGGCAGGGGTTCACAATCTCTCAAAAAATGCATCTTTTATTTTTACAGTTCCGGCTGGAACTTTGCCGCCGGGGCGTCGCGAGACGGGTGCGGGGGTGCGTATTTAGGGGAGTGACACCAAGACAAAAAAAAATTGCAAAATATATAGAATAAATATGATTTTTGCCAGTTCAATGTATGGTTAATTAGAGGTAAAAAGTTTTTTAAAGTACAAATTGACGATTCCGGGGTGGGGAGGGGGGAGGAAACACCATGACCTAAACATGCAAACTGTAGTGAAAACGTTACATCCAGCTGAATCGACTATAGTTGGCAATCACGGAGTCTAGGCAGACATGGGAATGAAGGTGTGGAACGAATGGGTCGACAATAAAATATTTTTTTTCGGTACGAATCGACAACAGCAGCTTATGTCTTTAAGAAAGAAATGATTCGATCATAAAGACACCGCGGCACACAAAGCTGCGCTTAAGATCCTAACAGAAGCCGCGGCAGTATCTATAGAGAACTTGTTAAAGGCAGTTAACTGCAAAGATTTTTCGTACAGCACACAAAGTAGCAAAATAAAACCAATCTGAAATAGATTTGCAAGAACTAAACGGAGTTGAGATGGGCCGTATTCTTCATTCAACCAATGCTTGCATAAATGTAGTGAATCACATTACTTGTGAAATAAGAAGGACCTTAGTTTCTCTTGCATGTAATGGAGCAGCTGTGATGTTGGGAAGAAAAAGTGGCGTCAAGACAAACATGAAAAAAAAAATTTCCATCGGTTCTGTTTGGCATTGTGCAAATTACCGACTGGAACTCTCAGTATGTAGTTTATCATTCTTCACCCAAAATCTGCAGAGAATTGCTAATATGTGCTCGTTTGTTGGAGGGAAAGTTGTTTAAATTGGAACAATGTTAAGCACGCGATGGGTGGCATCCAGCTTCAGTTCTGTTTTAGCAGTTTGGGAAGATTATGAAGTTTTAGTACAATATTTTGAAGAAGCAAAACTTGACTCAACCAGAGACTAAAAAAAAAAGATCATTGCATGTATGAAGGTTTGCAGAGCATTGTCAGAGTTAACTTTGGATTTGCAAGAGCGCAACATAGGCATCTACCGAGCAGATTAAAAAATCAAGGTTGTTATACAGATTTTTGAAGAAAGGCAAATTATTCCAGGCCCTTATTATAAAATTGCGGCCTCTGTTTTAGATAGTAACCTTTTCAAAGGAGTTTCACTTCACACAAAAAACTGTACCATTGATCCTGCAAAAAAAAAAAAATGTTTACAAAAACTACAAGAATCAATTAAACAAAGGTTGCTTACTAGTTGGCATATTGGGCTCCAGTGCTCGATACAAAGCGATGGCCGGACAACATTGGTACTCACTTAACATTTGGCGAAACAGAAATTAGAAACTGGTCAACAAGATTGCAATTAAACGAAAGAATAATCATTATCGGATTTCGTGAATTTCTCATCGAAAATATCATTCCGGATAAACAACTTCCTTTACAAATTGCTCTCAGTACAATCCCAATTTCTTCAAGTGAAGCCGAAAGAAGATATTCGCAAATGAATCCTATCATCCCGACAAGAAGTTCATTGATGACAACAACTGTATCTTCACTGTTATTTATCAGATTAGTACATATAACAGTTGCAAGATACGTTGATTCATGGCTGCTTAGAGGCAGACATTCAGCCAGATTCGAACAGCAAAGAACGCAGTCGGGAGTATACGTCAGATGAGAACTTGATTAAACTTTGGAGTTTATTATGAATAATTCATCATTTATTTTTCATTTTTAACAGTTTTTTCCTATAACTATAAAACACAAGAGAACTTGACACAATTTTTAAGAAGTAAATCAAGAATAACTTAAATAAGTTGTTAGTTACATTTTACAAATCATGCAAATGTAGATCTAGATCTATACGGTATACCAGAGGCGAGGGGGCGGGGTGCGGACCGCACCGGGTGACACCATCTATGGGTGACACCAAGGCAAAAAATAGCAAAATATATACAGAACAATGATAATTTCACTTAATTAAATGATTAATTACAGTGAATTAAATAGTCTGTTAAGAGCAAAGTTGACAAATCCTGACATGGGGGGGGGGGGGTGACACCATGATGTAAACCAGATAATGATAAAGAAAACATGCAACATCCGGTGCGCGGACCTTTGGCCACAGGTGCTTTGACCATAGGGGGTTTGACCATAGGTGCTTTGACCACAGCTGGGCTTTGACCACAGCGGGGCTTTGACCATAGGGGGTTTGGCTACAGGTGTTTACTCAGCAGAGGGTCTTTGATCACAGGTGGTTTGTCAACGAGTGTTTGATCACAAACGCCGTGTCCGCCTTTGACCACAGGTGGTTTGTCCATATAGGGTATATGATCACAGGTTGTTTGTCCAATGCTGGTGTTTGATAACAAGCGCTTTGTCCATATATTGTAATGATTGATTTTAAAAGTTTGTGTAAAGATATTTTAAATTGTGGCAGGATGTAATAGTATGTTAATTCATCATGTATAAATACAAGTAATCTAAACCATACAAGTATTACTACTTTGACTAAACTGTCGGCATGTTTTTTATCCTTTGTTATCCTTTCCCTTTATGTATTTTCAAGTATTTCTACATTTTTATTTGAGAAACTTGTTATATGTCGCATTATTTGTGTTCCATTTATATTTAAAATAAATTCTATTAGGCGTAGCACCAGCCTTTATGTGGAGACTAAAATATCGTTCTTGACTTTTTTTTTTAGTACGTTAATTTCTATTAATGGACTCCCATGAAACATGTATAAAATCGTATTAATTGTATCACAAATTAAAATCAAATAACAATTTATAATTTCTATTTTAAAATCTATATATTAAATTAACCCCCCCCCCCCTTTCTGGTCAAAGCCCCGTTGTGGTCAAAGCCCCGCTGTGGACAAAGCCCCTATGGTCAAACCCCCCTATGGTCAAAGCTCCGCTGTGGTCAAAATTTACAATAGAGTATAATAGTGCGTAATAATTGTATAAGACAGCCTACTAATTTGGACACAAGATTAATTAATTCATAAAAATTAATTAGGCATCCAATTAAGTCAAATTTAATGTCATGTTGCATTGTCTTTACGTCTTGACACACGTCCCAACTATGAACCGAATCTGTCAGAAGTGCCCGAATTTTCGCTCTGGCGTTTCGATCTAGACTGACGACAATGAGTTAAATAATTAAATTGAATTGCAATATTTTTTTAAAAAACATAAAAACGTATTAATAACAAGCTTTTATGTAATAATGCACTAAAAAGTAGAAAATACACTACTATTTAAATAACTATTTTACCGTCGTTATGGTTACATGGTAATGATGGCTGCCGAAAACGACAATACCGTTATTCGTTTTTTTAACCATGTTTCATGGTCATTTCAGAAATGTAATATTTAAATCGTTATTTTTGCGTATTATTCAACGATGCCGGTCTGGTTTTAACAATGGACGATTAGTGTTTAATGCAAACTTGCCATTAGTATATTATTGTGGTCTAATCGTTGAGAATATCGAGCAGAACATAGTAAAAGTAAGCAAACGTGAATTGCTTTAGGGGTCATCCATAAATGACGTCACGCTATTTTGACGATTTTTACCTTCCCCCCCTCCCCTCCGTCACACATCGTCACAAAAAGCCAGACCCCCCTCCTAAAATGACGTCACACCTCAGCCTACAACCTTCCCCCCCCCCCCCCAAAAAAAAAATTGCAGTTGAATTTTTTTTAAATTAAAACATCGATATTTTTCCAAAATCTTGTCCGAACTCTCTCAACATAGAGTATTTTAATCAATTCCTATTACAATTTATTAAAACAGCTTTCTTAAACGTTAAATAACGGATAAAATTCGTTTTCCAACATTACTTTTTGTTAATGCAAAAATGTGACGTCACACGCCGTCACAAAATTACGGACCCCCCCCCCCTACGAGTGTGACGTCATTTATGGACGACCCCTTATTTAATATTATACTAAACTCAATGAAAATTTTTTCTAAACTATAGAAACTAAAATCTATAACTTGCTTTCTACTAATGTCATTAATGTTTTAAAAATCATGCAGGGTAAAAACAAACCTTTAAAAAATAACTCGATCTAGACAACAGCTAACTAACTTTTACTAAGCCCGCCCATTTTGCCCGCCGTGTATTTGAATAGGGAGAAATTTAGTAGACGACACATTTCTGCTGAAAGGCAGTCAATCGCGTCACAACAACACTCCTTAAAAACTAACCAACCGTATCAATGACAATACGTCATATCATCGTTGCCATTTAAAAACAAACGCGTTTTTTCACAAATCATTTTCTAGGTTACCGATTAAATTTGATAAATAAAATTGGTATCAAATTAAAGGTAAATAAAAGTAGTTTTTAATAGTTTAAGTCATCTTGAACAATAATGAAGTTTAAAATCTTAGGCTACACCCTACTGTCTATATCCCGAGTTGCCATCCCCGAGAAAGTTTAGGGGAGATCACTCCCGCTTTATGTAATTTCAACAACTATCTATAACGAGAAAAATGGCCCGTTGAGGAAGGATACAACGGGCGCTAGGCTGATAGTGCTGTCTCTTTTCTCTAAACTAAACCCCCCCCCCACACACACACCCCCCCCACCCCCGACCCCCCCCCCCCAAAAAAAAAAAAAACATATGTCTACCGTCCCATTCAACGAAATATAATTATATACTTTTTCCAGTGTCCGCCCCCTCTCCGAAAATTCTACCCCCGCCACCGAAAATTTCAAGTACCCCCACCCCTCTCCGGGGAGGAAAAAGTCTAAACGAAAACCACCCCACCCCCCACACACCACCCCCCCCCCCCCCACACACACACCACCCCCCCCCCCACCCCCCACCCCCCTTAAAAAAACATGTCTACCGTCCCATTCAACGAAATATAATTATATACTTTTTCCAGTGTCCGCCCCCTCCCCGAAAATTCTACCCCCGCCCCCGAAAATTTCAAGTACCCCCACCCCTCTCCGGGAAGGAAAAAGTCTGAAAGAAACACTGGTGTCGCGCTTAGCCACTACCCGAAGAATTGCATTAAAGAAATTGCAAGAAAATCACTTTTTAGATTAGACACATTAATTAGGCGGTAATTTTATTATAGAGTATCGATGAAGAAATTTCTTTTGAGTTGGGGAGGGGGGGGGGGCTCAGACGTTCTTACGCGGGGGGTGGGGCTTCGCCCCTACCCGAAGAATTGTATGCAAGAAACTCTTCACGCAAACCATTTAGACACAATTATTTCCTTTTTTTTTCAATGTTTACTCGATAATCAATGACGTCATATGTCTGTGTGCACACTGTGTGCTTGAGATTATTTTCTACTCTATGCTAAATGTGACCGCGTCATACTTCGTTTTTCGAATTACTGTGCATGTTTTTATTTTGCTTGTGTTTACTCTACAGCGTTCTTGTCAGATAGATAGATAGACAGACAGCGAAACTATTAGTATTATAATATGAGACTGGTGGTAGTGTGTCAGTCATTCCGTCATCGCTATAGATTTTGGAACCATAAAAGTTAACACATCACATGTCGTGCTTTACACTTGCATCACAGTGTCCTATTGTATAGAGTAAGGTTTGTTTATATAACGACTTAAATTTATTTTATAGTTGCTACAGTTTTTACTCTTTCGCATAATGTAAAGAAACTATTAAATACACGCAAATTGCTAAAACATATTAAACTGATTAATGTCAAATATCATTTTCGTTTTGATTCCCATAAAAGTGGATACATTTTAATAATAATAGGGTCGAAAAAGCGAATTAATGAAACTGTTTTGTAATTTTGCCAAGGGAGGTAATTTAAAAATAAATTAAACTCACGCTAATAAAAAATGTGAATGCAAAATCTCCAAGAGGGAATTATTGTTGGAATAATATAATTAGCAAAATGTGAATGCAAATCTGCAGAGGACACTATTGTTACGGGACATTATTGTTGGAATATTACAGAATATTATAGTTAGCATTGATTGATCAAAGGGTATCTTTTATTTATTTTATTCACTAAACGTCCTGTTTACTAATTATAATTTTTAATCAACTATTCTGCACTGTTATACACGCGTCATCACATTCATTAGGTGCGTAATGGTTTTAGTCATGAAACTCTATTGTAAATTTTTAAAATTCTGAAAAAAAAATGCATGAATTGATAAAGTGCTATATGGTAGGTAAAACACGGATATTTTAAATAGTACCTTTTATTTATTTTATACACTGAACGTACTGTTTACTAATTATTATACTGTTTACTAATTATTATTCTATCTTTCTGCTTGCGGACAAGCTGGGGGTTTTATATTCATTCACTGAATCAGGCACCTCCGCCGGTGCTCGGACAGGGTGCGATTAGGCACCACGTGCTAAACTGTGAGCACTATGCATTTATGTTAGCATTTAAGTTGTGTTTATGTTATGAGTGTTTGTTTTTTCATTTGTGTTTTTTTTACGTTTGCATTTGTGTTTGCACTGTGTTTGTGTTTTTATTTGCGTTTTTTTTTTTTTTTTGCATTGTGTTTGTGTTTTCTTTTGTGTTTTCGTTTGTGTTGTGTTTAGTTTTGTTCTGTTCCCAAGTTGGTACATTTAAAAAAGATTTACGTGGCGGAGCATGGGTATGCAGCTAGTTAAATAGGCAGAATAAGGGGGTTTAAAATTTACTTTTTAATTGTACTAAGCTTATTGCTATAGGAAAAATATGAAATGAAAAACTATTTTATCTGGGCATTTTTTTTCGGCCGTTTGACATACCTACTAAAGGCAGAAAATTGCAGATTTTATTATGATTTTTATTTACATTTTTATTTTGCTTCAGAAATTTTTATTCAAGGCCTTACTTCATTATCGGTGGCCTAGAAATGGGCTTTGGATTGGTGCATCTGATAGTGATAAAGAAATGGACTGGAGATGGGTTACAGGTATTATATTCATAGCTTTATTTAGAAAAAATAAGTAATAAAAAAAAAGTAATAAATAAAATAAATTCTTTGATCTTAGTCAAAAAGTAAATAGTGAGCTATCTACAATTTCTAATAATGCTCTAATTAAGGACAATAGTATTTGCTTTTTTTCTTACTTATCTAACAAATTATTTTTTAAATTCTACTATTTATATATTTGTTAGGTGAAAAGGTTAAGGATGGTTACAATAAGTGGGCCAAGGGTCAACCAAGTTGTTCATTTCTCTGTCTGGAAGATTGTGCTGTTATGAGATGGAAAATTGCTGGTGGAGAATGGCATGATTACCACTGCTCTTTATTAGAAAAATATTCATTTATTTGTGAATATAGTAAGGAGAGATTGTTTTATGTCATTTTTCTCTTCAAATTTTTGAAAATGTTTTTCTAAGTCTTTGATTTTTGCCTATTGAATTAGCTTGTGGGTTTAAATATCTAGATTTTTGTTTCACATTTTTTGGTTCTATTTTAGAACATCTTAAATTTTCTATTTTAAAATGTTAACAGATATGCTGCCTGAGCCAACTACAACACCCACTACTACACCACATTCAACTAAGACAACCACTACTTCTACCACATCTCCTGGAACTACCCCAGACACTGTCATAATTTTGCAATCAGCAATGCAAACTTCTTCTCAAGTTGTTAAAGATGTGATGACAACACCTGTGAAGAATCTAAATGGGTCTTCAGACTTAATACCACTTGCTGTATTGGCACAAAGTATTTATAAGTTTTTCTGTTTTAGTGTTTAATAATTTTAAAAAGTTAACATATCTTTTTATTAGGCAATTTTCATGAAACTTTTGCTTTCCCTTGCTATGAACAAAAAAAAATTACCTTTTCATTTTCATGTACATTTTTTAACTATTATTTCTTTAAAAAATATTTCCCACTAAGATATTCTATTATCCCAATAACATTGTTTGCCACTTTCTTTTTTACTTCAATACCTGTAATGAGCTGTTTGCTGTGTTCTCTCAGTACCAAAAGGTGTAATATTTTGTTGTGATGGTTCCAGCTTATTTCTTGCTGTGTGGCTGGGTGTGACAGTGAAGCGATTGATGGTGGCATATGATGTTTTTCCTTACAGCTATTTAGTAACAGTCACCTTCTCTGTAAGGTTCTGTGGCTTCTGTGGATCCCTTAATATCTGCAATATGAATGGCTTTATACTCATGTAATTGAATGGAATACATTACTTAAAATATTTTAATTTATGTTTTAGATCACGACCAAAGCCCTACAACCTCAAGTCTTAGAACTGGTAAGTCGTGTGACTTTGTTTTGACTTTATACACCTGTTTCAGTCACTGCTTGTGGAGCATGTTGAAATCTTTGGCTTGCTGGACAGAACTGATAGAATATGACATTACACTCAATAAAGATTTATGATTACAAGTTTATTACAGGATTTAGAATTAAACAAAATTTCACTGCTAAAAATTTAAAAAATACTTTCATTTACACCATGACACCCAATAGCATTATAAACACTTAAAATTCTACACATAGTTAACTGATAATTTTGACTCTTCCATTTGAGAGATCTTCTTGGTTATGTATATTGTTTTAGTACATACCATCAAGAGCACAGGATAAACATTTATATAATTCATTATGCTTGCCTTCATTTTACTCTCTAGTCTACACTCACGTATTGAAAGGCTATAATGCCTTTATACTAACCTTGTTTATAATATGCAAGTGCATCATCATACTACCATATATATTAAACAAAAACTGGGATAATTTGATAAGCCAGTGAGCTTATATCATATGATTGCCCTCAAAAGCTTGTGATGATTGAAACTGTATTAAAAAATACAAAGAAAAAAAAGTTAGATAATGAATATAAATGCAGGGGTCAGTAACTTGGTTTGATATTGGTTTTATTTGTATAAACCTTACAGCCCTGACCTACTTTTTGCCCACTGTTTTTTCAGCCCCTTGTTTTACAATCAGTTCCGTCCTACCAAGAGTATTTTGCTATGTAATACTTCTCCTATCTTTCTGATTTGAATCTTCTTCGTCCACCAGATTAATAGGAAGTCAGGGATTTAAAATGTATATTTAATTCTAAATTTACACTGATTGTCATCTTTTAAATGATTACAGGTACTTTGGCAGTGATTGTGTGTTTTGTATTAGTCCTCCTGTTTGTGGCAGTTGTGCTTTTCATTTTTTTCAAACGAAGGTACATATTTTATTCAGGTCCTAACATTTTAAAAAAGTGATACATATTTGATATATTTTACAGTCAATTATTTGGTTGATAAAAAGTATATTCTTCATTTGGCATTAAAAGTCTTGATTGATCATGCCAGACAAACTGTGATGTTTACAAAACTGTTAGAGAAAAAAGTCACTGCATGAGATAAGACAGAAAGATAACAAAATGCTTAGGACTTTTATTTTATGCATTAGATTATCTTGTCATTTTTCTGATATATTACAGCAAACAGTTTTAGCTTTCACCTAGGTAATATTGTGTATTTTATAAAGTGATATTTAACTTGTTTTTTTTTTAAATGTTTTTAGACGCAGAAACAGAGAAAAAGAAGAAGACTTTAGTGTAAGTTATGAAAATCCATCATATGGAGAAGTCAAACGTCCACTTTGTAACTATAAAAATTCAATCAATGAAGACATTAATGATTGTAAAAATAATAGTAGTCTCAGACCATCACTTGCTGCACAAGATGCTAGGCTCTTGCCTCAAAGTCATTCTCAGCTGAGAGGTGAAAATAAATATGATACTCCACCAACTTCATCAAGGTATAGAGAAAAACTACCAAAGAATACTTTTGATGGAAGCAATGAAACTTTAGCCAGCTCTACAAAAAGAGCCTTCTTGGATCATGACAAAAATGAGGCATATACCTATGATGTCCCTCGCTCAGCTCTAAGTCAAGCAATGGCCACTGGAAGTGAAAGCATATCTGATGAACCATACTACTATGATGATGAAACTAATATTTATGAGTCATTAGATGGTTCAGGGGATGAAGAGTTTCAGAATAATGACCTGGACAGAGATGACATTGTTTACAGTAATGTTGAAGCTTTAAACAAAAATGTCTATGTTCCTTTCCCATTTGATGGAGCCAATTCTAAATAACGTGACCACTGAAAACTACTTACATTTGGTAAAAATCTACAAATCTAAAGGAAATATTTGAGATTTTAGTAAAAGTTTGTTTTAAATAACATTGTAAAAATATTTTAATACAATTATTTTGAATAAGCAAAATCTATTATAAAAATCTATCCATATGTTTAAATACAACATTCAACTAATTAACTTAGTGTTCAATAAATAAGAACATTATATCATGTTAAATACATTTAATAAACTTTTAAACACATTTACGTTTACTATGTCCCTCCAATGAAAGAATATTTTGATAAAATATATAACTTTTGAGATGAATTGTGAGCGTTTATTGTACAATATTGACCTGTTTGTTTTTATTATTCTTTGATACAAAATTATTATGCATGCGTTTATACATTTTAATGTGAATGTAACAAAGGATGAAAAAAAAGGATATTTGTAAATATATATTTCATGCACGGTGAAATTTGTCTTATATATTTAAGCTGAATTTTGAAATTCTTGGTCAAAGGCTTATTGTACATGTAAAAAATATATATATTAGCAGTGATCACTCTTGCAGCAATTGACATTGAACTCAATTTTAAAAACTTTGTATCTAATGATTTGTTTTTACTTAAAAATCATGTAGTATATTAAATAGGTAATTTAATATCTTTGATCATAGTCATAGTCACAAAACATGTAAACTTTACTCCATTTGTCCTATTTACTTTTAAAATGTATATATTTGAGAAAAAAATAGTGTTTATGTTGAAAAGAGATCAAGTGTTTATATGTTTTTAGTGTACTTCCAAGCATGTCAAGGGCCTCATTCAGTGGTACCTTAAGATACAAATTGAATTCATTCCGTAACATATATTGTATTCAAATTGCTTGTATCTGAAAGTAATTTTCCCCATTGAAAATAATTGAAATGCCATTGAATTTATCCAACCATGTAAAAATGTATATATACATATAATGAAATGCTAATGAAAGTATGCAAGTTATTTGGTCTGTCCTTATGCATTACTACACCTTTCACACAATCGCACAAAATTTTGAAAGGTTGCTTCCGGGGAGGACCTTTGTCAACACATACTTACTTGTACATACACTCATACACACACATTCATACGAATGCTCATAGTCTCTCTCATACATATAGATTCATCCACATGCACTCTCACACATTTTTAGGAACACTCATAAACACTTATTCAGCTTGCATATACACATACAAAATCTCACCCATGATAAACACACTCCCTCACACACATTTTAACACTCCTACTCAAACTACACTAATAAACACACTCACTTTTTGTAATCACAATATAGTTTCAGACAACTACGATATATCCTGTCACTGGGACCCTATTGTTTATCAGATAAGAATAGCATCCACTGCTGCAATGTCTATTGAAAGTTCCATCTGGTTGCACGTCGGTAATGGCGCCAACTACTTTTTATTTTTTTGTTTTGTTTTTGATAAACTTATCTTGTCATTCTAGAGCAGGCTATCACAAAGAAGTTACATATTGTGCTATATTTTGACAACTAACGAAGGTGTAGATTTTTTGGTCTGTGAGCCTCTTTGCTCTATGTAGCATTGCATATAGAAGAAGGATATACAATACAAACTTGAGCAACACATTACAATGAACCCACAGTCAAAATTACCACCACACTGTAACATACACAGGAAATTGGCTGGCCAATGTATGAAACACATTGTGTGCTAAAAGATTTTCCTGCTTTGTTATTTTGTCCATGATTGATTAAACACTTTTAAAAACTAGCTTTTGTTTGCCCAACTGGGATTTTTAATGTTCTTTTAAATGAAGCATATACTAATAGACCTAAGCTTACAAAAAGATTTATTTCATTATTTGGTTTTATCCCAGTGTGATAAATCGTTTAAAAACTTAATGTATTTTGATGTGTTTTTTTTTCTGTGCATGAAACCTTATTAGTCATCTGCATGATTCTTTATATAATATGCCTAATTTTCTTCTGTCAAATAATTTTTTTACTGCTGTCGATAATTTAGCTCTTGGTTGTTAAAAATCAGAGTAAACCTAATGCAAATTGTTGTTTTTATTTTGTTTTTTAAATTAAATGTTGTCCCTAAAAATAATCAGTTTCTTCCACGCATCTCCTCGGTGGGAGGGCAGGGGGAGCCCCCCCCCCCTCCCCGTTGAAAAAAGTCTGGAAGAAACGCTGCAAATAATTTGTATCAAGCTGCCTATTAAAATACAAGTAATTTGTCCTTTTTGGATAACTGTTTCTTGGATGTCTTTTAAAATCGAAACCGAACATGTTAAATCTGGATTATTTTAAAAGATCATCATCCCCATCGTGCCAACGATATATTGTGCAGATGAAGTAACGTTTTCAATGGAGGCCAGTGGCGTAGATTGTAGGAAAAAAGTCACAGGAAAAAAACGGGAGTTATCTCCCCTAAACTTTCTCGAATATTCATAATATATAACACGGGATTGGCAACAAGGTATATAGATATGAATTTTATCAATTTTTTAATTACTTTATCTCCCCTAAACTTTCTCGAATATTCATAATAATATATAACACGGGATTGGCAACAAGGCCTATATAGATATGATTTTTATCCATAGAAAACAGAATTGCGCACCAAGCGAACGCCAAAACAAAATGTGCATAATAGTGCGCAATATTATAGTACTTTATAAATTTACATGCGTTTTTTGAGAAATTAGAAATAGCGTAAATTAGTACTTCCGGTCAACGGAAATTACTCAAAGTTTGACAGAAGGTAGAGAATTAGATCTTTTACTTACTTGTGAAATTTCATTTATCTATCTGAAATAGTACTCAAGTTAAAGGCTTTTGAAAAATTCAAAGTAGAAAAAGTACCACTTCCGGTTATCGGAAATTGCACAAAAGTTTATACGGATCTACGATTTTGATAAAATACTTATATATGAAATTTCATCAACGTAGCTGTAACGGTACTCAAGTTATTCATTAAAAACGTTTTAATAACAAGCTTTTATGTACTAATGCACTAAAAAGTAGAAAATAAATTATAGCCTACTATTTAAATAACTATAAAGAAAAGCGTGGGTCTCTTCCTAAACATTAGTGAAGGTATCCAATAGATACTAAAAAGACCCACGCTTTTCTTTATAGTTATTTAAATAGTAATCTACAATTTATTTTCTACTTTTTAGTGCATTAGTACATAAAAGCTTGTTATTAAAACGTTTTTTATGAAAAAAATTTATCTAACAGATCTCAAAGCGTGTTTCACCTTAATACCATCTCTTCACAGAAATATGTTTATATAGGGGTTCCACGGGGTTCAATTTTAGGTCCTTTGCTTTTTTCTTTACACATTAATGATCTTGCTTTGCACATCGACGCAGGTCAGTGCGAGATGTTCGCTGATGATACTTTGTTACATGTCTTTGCAGACAGTGCTGACTCACTCAGTTACAAACTTCAAACATGTGCCAATCAGCTTGCTACTTGGACAAAATTTAACAAAATGAAACTTCACCCCGATAAAACCAAGTCAATGATTATTACTATTCATCAGAAACGCCTTCGTCTTCCACCCACTTCATTACGCATTACAGTAGACCAGGGGTCTCCAAACTTTTCCGTCCGAGGGCCGCATTAACTATCAAATTTCAGTTCGAGGGCCAGCTTCTTCCAGGCATGTCTTTGATTTTTCTGGGCAAAGTTCCTCAACCATCACCAACAAACGTTTTTTCCGTGGACAAAAAGATCTCCGCGGGCCGGATGAGAGAACCACGCGGGCCGGCCCGGCCCGCGGGCTGTAGTTTGGAGACCCCTGCAATAGACAATACAAACATTGAACAGGTTAACAGTTACAAATGCCTAGGATTGGTTATAGATCACAACCTCACTTGGTCCGATCATATTTTAAGAATGTCCTTATTAAAGACAACTTTTCAACCAGCAAGGATAAAGAACTTTCTGGACTATAGCAGCAGGCTAGTTTTTTTATGAAGCTTTTATTCAATCTAGGTTGGATTATGCTTCTGTAGTGTGGAGCGGCAGCTTTATAACTAAGCAGCGTCCTCTTCTATCATTACAAAAAAGGGCTATAAAACTGGTTACTGGCTTGTCTAGTAGTCTGGATTTTTTTACTACAACTAAAATACTTCCATTAACTAAAAAGATAATATATACTAAATCAATTTTTTTTATAAAACATTCCACGAAACAGCCCCCTCTTACTTATCAGACCTATTTTCTTAACACGTTTTTCTTAACTCAGCTTCGCGTTTGTGGATTTGTTTGTTGTTAAAATTGACATCGAAAATTAGCCCACTTCTGATTGCTCTACAGATCTGAAATTTGGCATACAGGCTACTTTCGCCTAACAATTTCAGATGCAATCATAAAAACTAGCAATTAGAGACCGTAATTAGCTTAATTTAATTACGCCCCAAGGACCATAAAATTGAGGACATGATTTCTAAAGATACCGACAAGACTGGAGGCTTATAGACACAGTTACTTCGGCCCCAATCGATGTGAGCGCGCTGGCCGTGATCGTATAGTGGTTAGTACTTCGCGTTGTGGCCGCGACAACCCAGGTTCGAATCCTGGTCGCTCAAGATTTTTTTAGTCCGTGTATTTATAAACACTTAGTCAAGTCATACTTAATCAAGTCATTAGATAAAGTAGAAAATAAAGTATATAAAAAACTTTTTTAAAAACCACGTTTTTCATGTGTAGCAACGGACTAAAAAGGAGAAAATAAAATACTTAAAAAAAACTTTTTAAAAAACCACGTTTTTCTTGTGGACTAAAAAGTAGAAAATAAATTTTTCTTTTGTGCTTCCTCGAGCTGTGCAGGTTCTTGTGATGACTGACAAAAAAACGTGGGTCGGGCAGATGGGTCGGGAAATTTGATGGTGAACGTACCCACGTGTTTTGTCAGTCATCACAACAACCTGCACAGCTCGAGGAAGCACAAAAGAAAAATTTATTTTCTACTTTTTAGTCCACAAGAAAAACGTGGTTTTTTAAAAAGTTTTTTTTAAGTATTTTATTTTAACATAAAATTAAATCGTCGTCTTAAGTTACCGTTCCCATATACAATTTTTTTCCAGAAAAAAGTTGCTTCGCCTACTCTGGTTCTAATTTGTGGAACAATCTTCCTAATAAAATAAAACCATCTAGATCTGAAAATATATTCAAATCTAAACTAAAACAACAATTCTTTAATGACCTCTATAACTGACTCATTGAAACATTTCTCATTCATCTATTATATTCTTTTTTATCTCAATTTGTATTATAACTATGTAATATTATTTCTTTATTCCACATTTTTACTTTCTCGATTATACGAAGTATAGAGAAAGTTTTGCAATCTTGTCCGTATGTCTGTGTGTCTGTCTGTGTGTCTGACTCTGTGTGTGTAAACACGATAACTTGAGTGCCGTTACAGCTAGGTTGATGAAATTTCATATATAACTATTTTATCAAAATCGTAGATCCGTATCAACTTTTGTGCAATGTCCGATAACCGGAAGTGGTACTTTTTCTACTTTGAATTTTTCAAAAGCCTATAAATTGAGTACTATTTCAGATAGATAAATGAAATTTAACATGTAAGTAAAAGATCTAATTCTCTACCTTCTTTCAAATTTTGAGTAATTTCCGTTGACCGGAAGTACTAATTTACGCTATTTCCGATTTCTTAAAAAACGCATGTAAATTTATAAAGTACTAATAATATTGCGCACTATTATGCACTTTTTTATTTGGCGTTTACTTGGTGTGCAATTCTTTTGTCTACGAGATTTTATTCTATTTTTAAAACTTTAAGTATTTAAAATGGATTAAAATCATGTCTGTAGCCCGAGCTCCCATCCCATGTTATTTTACATAAGAATATTCGAGAAAGTTTAGGGGAGATCACTCCCGGTTTATTAGTGCTATGTTACTGCTATGTCGTTACTATGCAATTGCCTTTTTACTTTCTCGTATATACGAAGTATAGAGAAAGTATTGTAATCGTGTAAAAAAAAATCGAGATTTTTACAAATCTCGACGTTTTACACCTCACTGATACGGAAAAGCTTCTTCTTCTTCTTCTTCGTTCTTAATTATTAGTGTTGAAGGGGATCGAGATTTATCTGCCAGTGGGGTTGAACTCGAGACTGTTCGAATTTATCAACGGAAAAGCATAATTTTGCAATCTTGTCCGTATGTCTGTGTGTGTCTGTGTGTCTGTGAGTAATTTCCGTTGACCGGAAGTAGTAATTTACGCTACTTCCGATTTCTCAAAAAACTAATGTAAATTTTTAAAGTACTAATAAAATTGCGCACTATTATGCACTTTTTTTTATTTGGCGTTCACTTGGTGTGCAATTCTTTTGACTACGAGATTTTATTATATAATATTTAAAAGTTTTTTAAAATGGATTAAAAATCATGTCTATAGCCCGAGTTCCCATCCCCTATTGTTTTATATAAGAATATTCGAGAAAGTTTAGGGAAGATCACTCCCGGTTAATTTTAATGCTGTTATTGAATTGTAGTTTTATATGTTTATTTTAAAAAAGGTCAATGTGAAAAAAGGCAGTAGCGTACGCAGGGGGGGGGGGGGGGAGCAGGGGGAGCGGCCGCTCCCCCTCTGGCCATTTTCAGCAAAGTGGCGCCTTTTTGGAAACTTTTTAAACAATGAATTTTGTTAAAAAATTATTTTGGTCGGCACATCTATGTAAATCACAAGATTTCTTTCCATGCAGCAATTAAGCAGAATTGTACTATTCTAGTTGCGTCTACGTTAACAACACGTATTAACAGCTGTATCAAGTTTGTCATTCTAAAAATAACCATTACGATGCATTGCAATTTAAAAAAAACCTCTTAGTACCACTTGGCAAGATGGGGTGTTAATGTATAATGTATTTGCTTAAGAATAATCTAGAAAATATTATACATAAATCTTCACACATAGTTACTTTATATATACAGTTTTAATCGTGTAATTAATTTTTTAAAATTACAATACAGACACAAATACAACTGATGTGGCAACTCTATTTAAATTTACTTATGGGCAA